AAAATAAATTTAAAATACATTAAAGCTGGCAAAGATATATGTTTACCCAAATGAGAAATGTGACATAGGTTTTTAACACATGAAACTCATATGACTTGTGGTTCATATTACTATGTTAATAAGCGGTTGCCATGCAAGATACACTCACATTTTGAAAGAGATGGACAGAAAACAAGCTAAAACAACGATTTTTAACACGTAACTCATATGACTTATGATGTCCTTCATATTACTATGTTAACAAGCGGTTGCCATACAAGATACGCTCACATTTTGAAAGAGACAGACAGAAAACAAGCTTAAACAACGATTTTTCGAACAATCAATTAAGGGCCCAAATTCAGAATTCTACGTACGGTCCTACATTAGTCAAAAGGAATCAAGATATTTGAGTTATAAACCTAGCTATAATATATGTTTTAAGTTTCGTAAGTGTACTCAAGGAGACGCCATTATAGACACATTAAGCAAACAACAAAATGGTCGCTAAGGAACAAATCACTTTTGTCAACAAATGGGTTGTCGAGGGGCCATGTTAAACGACTTATAACTGAACCGATGTGTCATTAAAGTTTAAACTGTTTCGGTGAGTCCATAACAACAGTTTTACACTAATAAAGTAATGTCTTACACATTTGGTGATCTAAATAAAATACACATATTTGATGTCTAATCTTACCTCACATCGCACTTTTTGTCATTATTTTTACCTGGAACTGGGATTCGTCAAAACTGTTCAAAGCGTACTTTCGCTTTCAATCGAGGTTTACAATAGCACGTGGTCGTGTTATCTGCTTGACCTAGTTAGGCTTATTGGACATTTGACATTATTCACTATGCTTTTTCTTTAATCTATTATCGCACGTGGTCGTGTTATCTGCTTGACCTAGTTAGGCTTATTGGACATTTTACATTATTCACTATATTTTTTCTTTAATCTACATATGTATACATTTCTATAAAATTATCCCATAATTAGGCTACAATATTAGATTTTGGAGGCTGTGCTATATAGCCTATAGCCTTTTCTATGCTAATTTTGTGACAACTTTTGGCGCGAAATGGTAATAGCTACAACCGTCAGGTCTTTTTGTTCAGCATGGGAAAATAAGAGTCACAGTGTGAGTTTTGTTCGGTGAAAAAGCCTATATTATACAATGCAGTTTTATATAGAAATTCTATGGAAGGCATGTCCGATTTATGATTCAATAATGTATATAATGAACGCTGGTAAATATATACAAGATGTTGCAACGTTCGTATATGAAATGTTTAAAAATAGACATTATACCATTTGCTATCTAATATATACCTTATAATACAAGCATTATAAATATAATTTAATATACTTTTAGAAAACTCTATAAACCTTATTGAATGTTCTGTTATGTTGTATTGTAATTTGTATTGTATGCTTTACAATGCAGTTGTGTAATATAGCATTATTATTATTATTATTATTATTATTATCATTATTCCACAGTTTCTATAGCGAAGGCCTAAATACTATAGTATTTCCTATTATAAAGATTGTTGGGGAAATTTATATTTGAAAATATTAAAGTATTATGTAGATTTTTATAGAGCTTTCAGTGGGAAAATTTACACTTATGATAAGGCAGGATTACAGTAGTATTCTATAGTTTGGGAAGCCATATCGTGATCGTTATAATTTAAAAAATTATCGACCTGTTTCGAATTTCTCTTTTTTTTTTTCAAATCTGCTGGAAAGGGGGATCGCCGTTCAACTCAAGGAACATTTACTGTCTGAACCGTGGTAAATTATAAACGGATTTCGTCGATTGTGAACAAACTATTGAATAATTGTTATTAAAAACTTGCCTGTGTTTGAAATCACCTCCGGTTGAATAAAATCCATTGCACAATTGAATATCCCAACGAAAAAAAAAGTTCTCTGTTGTAAAGTCAATGTTTTTGCTTGTATTTTCGACTAAGTTCATCATAACATTGCACATGTCACGTGATGAGCTGAACCATCTCAATATGTTGAAGGGGACAATGGTTGACAAATTTTGACAATCACGTGTGCTGCAATTACAACAACGCGCGACCTTTCCGATCGTTTGAGTTTGGGCAACAAAAATGACAATTGAAGACAATAAAATTAATTTGGAAACAATTGATTGTCAGTCTACTAAATTTTTATTCACAATGAATACTAGTATATCACCGATTACACAAATACGCGTAAATATTGCTTTTCACATCACCATCACCTCATAATTGTAAAAACCCTGTGTTAGTGTGTATTATATATATTTTAATAAATTATATTAGGCCCTACATCCCTGTCAAGTATTTGCAACTCTGTGGTTAACATTTATAAATAAACATACTTTATTTCATAAACTATGAAAAAAGGCCACCGCTTCTCAATAATTTATATATATAATTATGATTAAATTATTTTTGGGGGGTTTATTCGATAGATACTGAAATCGAAACATTGTTGATAAGAACAGTTCGGGGTGACTAAACATCGTTTATCGTCTTTATAAAAATGTATTTAAAACAAAAAAATCACTTGTCAAAAGAGGTATTGCAGATTGCATGTATTATTGGGTCTTGTGTGTTAATTATGCAGACCGTGGGAAAAACTCGTACAACTTTCGCGCTAAATTTAACCATTTTCACTGCATCAGTAGTAGTAGTTAGTTGTATTTTACGTCCGCTTCCACCGAGGTGATATCGCAGACAACTGCATCAGTGTAGTATACAATAACTTATATGGCATGGGACCGTTTACGGTAATAGAATTCAAAGCGTTGATTGGCTGAGGCATGATCGCGATCTACGAAATGCCATCTGAAAATTCCATGCTCTGTGGATTTCAAAATGGAGAAGTACTTGTGATTAATATAGGCCTATAGTTAATAACTGAGAGTACAATCGTATGGATACATTGCCCTGTGAATTTCAAAACGAACCCGGTATTTTCGGAAATTAATTGTGTTACCGAGACGCAAAATTCTGAACAGCTTTTGCACAATGGAAATAATATTCGAAGAGAAATAGAAAGACATGAAACTATCTGTCGATAATTAAACCGATGTGCGCTATGATTTGTTGTTGATTATAATTTTTAGTATTTATATAAAAAAAATAATAATAACGTTATACCTATTCAATGATTCAGTGACCTCGGCTATTAATTTTGCCGATGCAAATGTATTGCGGCTACAGTCGATTGCCGAGGTTAATTGACAGGACTGCTTATGTTCATCGGGAAATATTAAAGGAATGTCGTTCTTTTTTGTTCATCACCTGTGTTCAGAAGAAATAATCCCACCCAACTCTCTAACCAAATAAATAATACAAGACGGAAACAAAATAATGGACTACGGCGTATTTATGTTTGTAAACTCCCAAACTCATTGTCCGAGGGCAATAACTTATTCATACACAAAATTTGAATTGTCGTAAAAGAGCCAAACACCGCTACGATAGACAAGCCTTGCTGAGACCCCCTTATACGAAATGATCTGTCCCGATAAGTGACGTAATTAGCTTCCATTTTGATTTCTCGATGTCAAAGTATGTGATGAGTTCAATTTTACAAGAGAGAACTTTTTTATTCGCTGGGATATTTAGTTGTACAATGGATTTTATTTAACCGGAGGTAATTTCAAACACACGGGTAAGTTTATAATAACCATAGTGAAGTAGTTTGTTCATAATCGAAGAAATCCATTTATAATTTACGATGGTTCAGACAGTGGCACATTGTAATCTACTTTAACTATTTCAGTCAGCCTACAGAGAAGGACATAGTACCGAAACTTCATTAACACGCGTACACAATGACGTTTTGCAGAGTATAGATAAGAAACACACAGTTCTGTTTGTGCTGCTTGATTTGTCTGCAGCGCTTGACACGATTGACCACAGCATCCTTTTGCATCGTCCCAAATACAGATTGCTTCTGTTAGTAGTCAAGTAGTATGTGTACAAACAGTAAATCTAAACCCAGCCGTGTGCGATATGGTGTCCCTCGGGGCTCGGTTCTTGGTCCGCTCTTGTTTTCGGTCTCCACTCTTCCACTAGGAGACATTATCAGGCAGTTTGACACCAATTTTCATTTGTTTGCTGTTGATACCCAATTGTACGTCGCAGGACCTCCGTGTGCCATTCAGAATAAGCAACCCGCCATTGAAAAGTGTATATAAAAAATAAGTGAATGAGTGTGTGAAATTTTTAAAAAAAAATTAAACACATGCAAAACTGAATTTTTGACTCTTGGTTCAAAGAGGGTACTTTTATCACTACCGGGCCCGTAGCCAGCTCATATAATTTGGTGGGACTACAGAATGTTTTGGAGGGGCTGAGGATGTGGCCGGCTAAGAACGCTCCTAAGAAATCATTATTGTTGGCAAAATATTTTGGGGGGCTAATTCGATTTTTTTTGGGGGGGGGGGGCTACGGGCCCGATCACTACAAAGCAACACTCGATCTTGTTGGTAATGATATTATTACATCTTCAGATTCCGCTAGAAACCTTGGTGTAATTTTAAACAGCACTATATGGACATGGCACAACATATATTTCTTCAATCTGCAAATCTTCCTTCTATCAACTCTACAGGATCAACAGAATTCGTAAATACCTAGATACATATACAACTAGAACCATTGTAAACGCTCTGACCACAAATCGCCTGGACTTTTAAAAATAATGTTATTTTGAAAGACATGTAGTTAGATATTGTTATGCATCACAATGACAATGTGAAATATTTGTTGTAACTTCCATACTCATGCTTGTACATGTAGTTGTGAATAAACTGTTATTATTATATATAAAAAATATGTTTTAGAAATTAGAATTTAATTTGGCGGAGGAAAAAATGTTGGTGCTAATGCACTTTAATACACCTAGTACTTGCCGTGGTCCTAGAGACTTGAAATTTGCTGAGGGCATTAGCGCATTTTTGTCAAAGGGAGACAATTCTTTCTTCTTTTTTTTTACCTCAAATTTCATTGGACGACGTCACAAAAACTCCCGCCATGTTCTTTCTGAATTGTTATTGAACTTGTTGAATTTTGCACTGACGATTAATTACTTATTAGATCTACCGTCAGAACTTTATTTTAATATTATTCAAGTTTTTCTATTCACAAGGGAACATGTGGAACAATCAAGGTGGAGGTAAGAGTTACATGCCAGTTTGAGTTTTTGATCCGGTGAACTTGCCATATAATATAATGATTGATAATAATATATAAAATACTATAAGGTACAACAAAGGTTTTGATTTTATAGTTTGGTTTCGCTAAAAAGATGATAAATTACAAATAAATTAAAATAAACAAAAATGTGATGATTACGGTTTAGCCCATGTATGGCTTCAGACAAAAAGAATCTGTTTCCAGGGACATGAAATACTCTCAATAGACTATAGAGTAAACCAAGGAATAGTTCAGCTCTGAACGTAGGTCTCATTTTACACTCGACCTTTACGTTCAGGGACTGTCCTATTGAATCCTTGTCGAAAATCTAATCGCTTCCCAGTCACTTTTACTGGGCAACTTTTTACTGCTAAATGGTCGCGTGTCAGTCCCTGTGAACGCCTGAACAATATAAATGAACATCTTAGTGAGAAAATAAGGCCTTGCTTACCTGGCTAGAGTCAGTATGAGCGACACAACATGCTGTTAAAAAATATGTCTCCGTCTTCTAACCGACTTGGCGGACAACATTGAAAGGGTAACGCACAAATTTAAGAACTCGGCCATATAAGATGAAACGAAATTTAGGTAAGCCTGGTGTGAAAAAATTGGGATTTTTGAAAGAATTTGATTGTAAATTTAGCTAGGCAAAGCAATAAATCACTGAAGATTCTCAACTTTTCAAAGATTTCATTTTTTTTCCTCCCAGGCTTACCTAAATTTCGTTTCATCTTATATGGCAGAGTTCTTAAATTTGTGCGTTACCCTTTCAATGTTGTCCGCCAAGTCGGTTAGAAGACGGAGACATATTTTTTAACAGCATGTTCAATGATGTCCGCCAAGTCGGTTAGAAGACGGAGACGTATTTAGATTTTCGACAAGGATTCAATAGGACAGTCCCTGAACGTAGAGGTCGAGTGTAAAATGAGACCTCCGTTCAGAGCTTAACTATTCCTTGGTTCAGGACAGTCCCTGAACGTAGAGTAATGAGACCTACGTTCAGAGCTGAACTAACCAAGGAAGGACTCAAAAGTTACGGAAATTCGAAATAGGCCTATACCGAATTGATCGATTTGAAGGTTCCAGAATTTAATCATCTAAATCAATCGAAAATTTTTTAATGTCATTGCACCTCTGACCATATGATACTGTGTGGAATGTTCATCTTGCTGAAACGTTTGATTATCTGACGATTATGTTCAGACCATTCTACTGAAGTTAAACAAACCATGTCTTTTTTCAGGATTGGTGAAAAAAACAAAGTATTCACTAATTCAGTCAGTGCCACCTCACTTAATTGCATTCCCGTAAATTTGGAATGTGGTAAATTGACAAATGAACAACCACATAGACTTCCAAATAAAATCATCACCACTAATTAAATACACTAAACCTACTGATTCAGCCGTGAGCATGTCATGTTTGGGAGCAGGTCTTTTCATCCCAAAACTGTTTCACCCGGGCTGTTTCATCCCATAAATGTAAGTTTGTTTCATCATGTAAGGTTGTTTCATCCCATCAATAAAATCATCACTAATTAACACGTTCGCTGCCGACCCCAGTTTGAAGTGCGCGCCACATCAGCTGACCATTTCCAGTATTAACTCATATGCCAGCATACGACTCGGAGTGTGGCGCTGGCTAATGGCCATTTTTACCGCATGCCGACATACGACTCGTAGTGTGGCACTGGCCAATGCCGATTTCTACGAGATGCCGAGATACGACTCGTAGCACGGCACTGACATTGAATAGCTATATTATCGGTACTATTACAATAGCAGGACCAAAGTGAGTTAGCTATGTTAATTCCTTCAATAAGAAGTGGTGTCGGGGGGGTATTGAACCAGTAAGCATACATTGCCTCGTGTACAACACACACCAATACTTATAGATGACTGGAGCGATAGTTTAGAAGGGATTTCACAAGATTTCACTGTGCTGGTTTAACCATAAGGCAAATAAGGCACGTGCCTTAGGGCCAGCCAAAAATCCAGACCACAAAATAATAAAGTAAAACTTTTTTGATTATTATCAGGTGGTGACAAAAATGCTTGCCTTTATTTTTATGTAAATAAATTGAACCCTTCTTCATCTACGCGTTGTCCTTAAAAGCTTTCCATACTCGGGCAAAGGGTTGATATATGATGTTTCGTCCATTTATACACGTGAGGTTTGTTTACATTTGTTGTGGGAAAGAATCTCGTATGTAATTTCATATTTATTTGTAATAAATTTTCTGTTGCTAAATTCAACTTAATTCCTTTTGTCAATGAGCCCAATATATCTGTATTTTCAGGCCACCTATCAAAATGTGCCTTGGGGCCAGCAGAGTCATAATCCGGCACTGGATTTCACATTTGTTTTATTACATAGTGGGAAGGGAGTTGTAGAAAGCCTCAAATCGAGTCACAATCTTTAAAATCACCACATTGGTGTAGCACGCCACCCCAGTAGTTGCAGGAGAGGTTTTTTTATTAGGTGCGGAAAACGATTCGCGCTGTTATTGACCTTACCGCATATTCATCCATTTGGCATCACTAATGGGATTGAGGCCTATATAGATAATTAAAAATAGGTCCAGTATTGCCTTCAATTATGAACACGCTCAAAAAGTCCCATAAGCCCCCATCCCCCGTCTCTTATTTTGTTTTACAAATAATTCCGGAATCAATAAAATGGTATCAGTAGGATATAAATTGTGACTACTGGACAATTGTACTGGCATCAGTTCATTTGTATAGACAAAAATCAAGTTGGTCAAACAAATAAAAATTGAGTTATTGAATAGGTATTTTTATTGCAATGTCACACTCAGTCTGCCGTCTGTAATTGGCCAAGTTAGCCCTACATCATAACCTGAGACCTCCAGCAAACGTTCTTTTTCAGTGCCGCATCATATTATATAATACGGTTCATCACCATTGCCGAGGATTTATATTAATATACCAAGTCAATAATGTTTACTACGGGTATACTCGTTGCGGCACAGACACGGTAACCATGACTACGAGTATACTCGTAGTCGGCAGTCAACGTGTTAAAAACGGGTGCAGGCTGTTTTGTAAAAAGCGATTGAAAAATATTTATTCTGGTATTGATTATAGAGCCCATTCTGCTGGGTGAGTTGTGTTTATTGACAATGAGTTGTGATTTTGACGAAAGTACGAAACGGCTCATGTGCATGTAAAAGTTCTCTTGAAATTAACCAAGGTACGAAACGGCTCATGTGAGGTATGAATGAACTAAGTACTAAACAGCTGACATCCTTAAAAACACTAGCCTACTGATTCAGCTGTGAGCATGTCATGATTGGGAGCAGGTCTTTTCATCCTCAAACTGTTTCATCCAAAATTTACATGGGTCGCCGTTTCATCCCCGTATTATAAGGTGGTTTCATCCCATAGATTAAATTATATGAATTTTTAATATTTAATTATCTAGAAATAATAATTACAGCATATTTTTTCATATTTATTCACTTTATCCCATTGTGTCAATACAAATTGCCCGATTTTATGAGTTTGCTGTGTTTCCATTCCGTATCAAATATATAATGGTGATGTTCCTTGACCATTACTTCATTTATTTGAAATTCAGTGAATAATTTTATGGTAAAGATCTGAAATATTTTGTAAATAATTTTCCATCAGTAAATAAATTATTTTCAATAAGTATAATTCTCACATATTATATGAAAATTCATTTACTGACATGTCAGTGATCTCAGTGGTTTGGTTAATACTCCCACCTGCTCCCACGGTTATTATTAATCCATAACAATTAAGTCTTTTTAACAATAGATAATTAATTATATGTTTATTTAACAATAGATAAGTTAGTTAGATGTACAACTCAGTTAATTAATAAAACAAATGGGTTAATTAATAAAACAAATGGGATGAAACAGCCCTATCAAATAATAGGTTGGGATGAAACAGCCCGGGGTGAAGCGGTTTGGGGATGATTGATACAGTGCCGGTCAACAGATTTGATGATTTAGTGTTGTTTTTTTCTTTGAAGAATTTTGATGACAGTATTTATAATTATTTTATGAAATATTGCAGGTTTTGATGGAGGAGGTTTTCAGTCACCAGGCGGTTTTGGCACTCCTCAGCAGTCACAAGAAAAAAAGGTGTGTTAATATTCAACAGTTTAAATCAGTGTAAAGTAAAAATGTCATTTTGCCAAAAATCTGAGATGTGTTATAGGAAACACAGTGTGGGTATATCGTGAGTGTGTGTAATCTTCATATTCCTGAAGCAATGGCAGAGCGTGTCTCATCGTCCAATCAATTCTCTCCTGAGTAAAATATAATGAATTTTCATGACCTGTTTAAAACAGAATCCTAGTGTTTGTTAGTGCCGATTTCCAGAAAATTTTTACCCTATGATGCATCGGGAACAAACATCGATACTCGCAGATGTAAATTTGGCTGAAACTCGCTATTGAAACGAAAATTCTTTTGACTCAATCTCCGATATAAATTCTATAAACGACACGTGTATGGTACCAATTATTACTGCCCACCGGTAAATATTCAATAATATTTATCCTTTTTTGTAAAGAAAATCCATGAATTATTTATTTTGTCATAAAAGCACATGTCGTATTACTATCCAGTTTGTAAATCACAAACATGACAGCCCTTCTCTTTGATTTGCCGTGTGGTCCAAGAGAAGGTAAAAAGATTCCACGTGCGCAGCGATTACCAAATGTTTACACTGTAGCCATTTTGGATAGCCTCGTTTATCACACAATTAGTTTCTCTGCAACATTCTCTGCAATGTACTAGTTAATTGAGCGTAATACATTTCGTGCATTCTGATGTAATGTAGCCACTTTGTCACCAGACACTTTACTGTAAAATTTAGAGCTCTGGTTAATCCCATTTGATTTTGTTAAGTCGTTATGTACTGGTTGTTGATCGGATTGTTAACCAGTCATAATTTGGGACAGAAATTTGCGCTGAGTATGGCAGTGTTTGAGTGGGATTAGGTCTAATCAAACTAAACACTGCAAGGAGTTTGTATAATCTTAGGCATTTATTTTTTTTCAAGCGGTATAATTTTATTATGTACAATGAAGAATGACTATAACATGGCTGGCAGAGTAGTATTAAGTTAGTAAATAAATACCCTCTAGCTCTAATCAATATTATCTTCTTTAAGCGGCATGCAGCAATTGACAGAAAACAAAAACATGCATGTAATATGGAACACGATTGCTATATTTTGATTAAAGCGTAATTTCGTTGAGGGTTCTCACAATGTTTTCATTTACCTGATAATGATTATAATACATGTATATAGAAGGTTTATATACAAAAACAAGTAACAACTAATTAACCAGATTATCTTTTATTTAATTAGTGGGCATATCTTGGATTTATATGAAATTCCATGAAGAATAACTGTGGACAAGCAACCAGATTAGACTTGATTAAATTTGTCTTCATCTTCAACCCACATTCTTGTATAATCAGACCCAGCTAAAAAACAAAATACAAATAACCACTTGGTGGAAAACTGCCTCTGGTAATAAATTTATTGGCTTTCACCTAAATTCGCCTATTTATAAAAGTTGGGAGAGTAACCGTTCACTTGTCTCATCATGTTACAAGTCAATGGCTAGTATAAAAATGGTATGCTTTGTGGGCCGAGATTATTGCCCTGATTACTCACATTCAGATAATGTCAAAGTTGGACTAGTATACCACCTACAATGCAAGAGGAAAAATGAAACACTTGATTTTACATGTAAAACCTGCTACAAAAACTCTTGGTATGACTACAATCTACTGTGGATATTTGTCTATTTTGAATGGACTAGTTTGTATTTGGGAATTTATTTTTCAGGGTCGTTCAAGGGCTCAGAATGTTTTACCATGTACAGTAGCACAGGTTTTTAATGCAACACATTCTGACGAAAAATTTTATTCAGATGAAACGGAAATGTTACAGGTTTGTCATATTCATGTTTTTCTTTAAAATGGCTATGGATTTAATAAACATAGAAATATATATACTTTATTCATAGACAATTGCATGTAAAAGTTGAAAAGAGATTTCTTAAAAATATATGACAATATCAAAGGAGATCCGTATCTGCTTTAGTGGGACTTTGGAACCATTCCAGTGGATCGTTTAATCGATGTATCACGATTCACCTAATCACGATTTGCGCATTTAATCACGGGATGCTGAATCAATGTATCACGATTCTTATTTACGCTTTTTTTGTCACTTCAGTAAGTAACCTGTCACTCTTAATTATCCACGTCACACATTGCTCATAGGTAGACACTCTTAAATTGATTCTTTTTTACGCTTTCTTTGTCGCTTCAGTAAGTAACCTGTCACTCTTAATTATCCATGTCACACATTGCTCATAGGTACACACTCTTAAATTGATCCGGTCCTCTATCCTGTACCACGCGCTGTATCATACAGTCTGTCATTGAGTCAACTGTCGGGGTTTTTATTCCCCGGTTGTACGTGACAAGTAGTAGGGTCGCCTGTCCAACCTCGTGGGTTTTCTCCAGGTCCTCCAGTTTCCTCCCACTACTAAAGACCCCTACGCGCAAGCGAATTATTGAAATAAAAATGAACTATGTGTTAGTCCCGAAATGACCTAGTTTGTGTTGAGTGGACGTTAAACGCCATTTCTCTCTCTCTCTCTCTGTACCACAGACAGCACCCAGAGCTTCCTAGTTAGTGAGTTAGCACCTACTGAGCCACCATTGTTCAAATTTCTTCCAATAGTCTTGAATAACTATTTAAATTCAAATATCTGTGTGAGCGTTATTTCACTAAAACTAGATCTGATTTAGTCGTGGCGGGATGCTACTTGATGATCATTTATTTATAATTAATGAAGAATTTAAAACTATTTGTTTATATGTGTAGGTTACAATAGTTGGGTTAGTGAGAGCAGTAAAAGAAACACAAACAAGATTAGATTACGAGATAGATGATATGACTGGACCACCTATTGAAGTAAAACAGTTTGTTGATAATGATGTAGGTATATTTATATTATTTATGACCGACAATTCACTGCAGCTTTAAGCCTAGCTCACAAACTGCCATAAGTGTTTTGACACGCATGGGTAGTAGGGTTTGGTAGCTCGCAGGCCAGCTACAAGAAAACTGGGTGAAAATTTTGTATGTGCAGGACCAAAAGTATCTGCGGCCAGTCTGCGATCTTCTATGGTTCCGAACACGTGCAAGTGACGCCTCAATCCCGGGCACAAGTTTACTGCCCATAGTAGCATGTATGGCGGGTTGTGAGCTAGGCTTTACAAGTAAGCCAACAATACATGAGTACAGCACATACAGTGTAATACATGTATGTAGAAGTTTTTTTCTGGGCAGCAGAACTGTCAAGGGTTCTTTTACATGTACATGTACGTCAGTGTCTACACTGGACCTTGGTTTTTTGTACCATCTGAACAACTAGACACTAAACTTGGCAGGCACACCACAGCCAAGATTTTTGATTTGATTTCCACTGTATTTTGAAATTTTGATAACTTTTATCTGTAGGAAAGTCTTCCAGCAGAAGAAAGGGTGCCATCAATGAGAGAAAATACCTATGTTCGTATTTGTGGTCATGTAAGATCGTTTGGTGGTAAAAGAAGTGTTGTAGCCTATAATATGAGTCCTATTACTGATATGAATGAGCTGACTTGTCACATGCTAGAAATTATACACAGTCATGCATTTAATGCTTCGTCTGGCCAAAACACGGTAAGTTGTTAGTAGTGATAATCAATAGATTTAGCATTACGGTGGAATGATCATACAGGATCATTAAAATATGTCGGATTACACAGCATGATGGAATACTCAATATTGGAAGTATTATTGTACCATTGAATACCGAAAGTATAATCTTCTTCGCGGTTGTATACCGATGTTGTATTTGGTGGCAAAAATTTAATATTTATGTTGCTATAGAGCTTGCATTTTTATCACACAATGGTCGGTCTGATAATGCTCTAAAAAGATAAGGATGTAAACAGTTAACTGGTCATGGTTCGGTTGCACTGTTGAACCGGTTAAAAAAATTACTAATCGTTTTTCGTTTTCATGTGATATCCGACCTTTAAACCCAGGAATGGTAGCTACAACATTGTTTCCTTTTATTAAAGACCACATAAATACTTTAAATAGCACTTGCAGGGCTGTCGGTAATTTTTCACAGTTGATTAGCAGCACTGCTAATCAAAAAGTCCAATTTTGCCAAATTTGATTAGCAAATTTAAAAATTGATTAGCAGTTTTTCAGTTTCAACGTAAAACACCTAAATAACAAGATATTACTTTAATTCATAACAAATATGATTAGATTCCATTCTGACTATTCTTTAAATTCTTAGATTTTTTAGCACTGCCACAAGTACTTGTGACAGTAGGTGAATGTGATGTAGACATTTAGTTAGGTCTTATGTCTGAGGCCAATTCTTGACAGTGACTTCCGAAGCTCCACTCATTTTAATTGTTATTTTTTGTCACGTTAGAAATCTTCGTTAGAAAACAATTTGTCTGCTTTTTATCGTGTATTAGTAGTATTACTATTTTTGTTCAATCGGGCGCACCTCGATTAACTAGACACACGCGATATAAACAATAATATTTTACGGGAATTTTTACTTTGATTTATCATTTTACAATACGTTAACATGTATTTATTTTTTTATATTTTATTTACAATGCGTGGGGGATACACTGGATTTATTTCTTTCAAAATGAATATGATATAATTACTTGATGTCTCGCAATGTGAGTGGTACTACTTGATTCCTATTTCCGGTTTAATAGTCCCTATTCATAGAGTTATGTCCCTGTGTTATATAGTATTGTGTCTGGGGTAGTTTGAGAAGAAAATGTCACGCGGAGAATTCAGTTTTGTTTATAAAATTTTATTCAACATTTTATACACATTGGAAGTGTTGAGTAAGCCTTCTAGTCTTCAAAATGTGGATTATTCTTGTGTCAATATCCAAAATGACAGGCATATTAATGATTCGCAGTAACTGCGAATCAAAAACGTTAGATTTTAATTTTTGGTTAGCAACGGACAAAATATGTATCGCAAATTGCGCTGCGATACTGGTTGTCGGCAGCCCTGAGCACTTGTCATTTGTAATAAGTCTCAAGAAGTTATTGTCTTTAAATTCCTGCTCGAAGTTTTATACACATTATTAGCACTCGCTGCCAAGTATTAAATAGCCTCCACTGAATGACAAATTAATTGTTTTACTGTATTTATTAACCTCGTCACTCCCTAAACAAGCTCTCAAATGGAAATAAATTTGGTATGATGAAATAATATTAACCAGATTTCAACTGGTCTATACGTGACATGTCAGAGTACCGTGCAAGATGAAGAAATGAAACATCAAGGATTGTGCCTTACAAAACCTAAATTTGTGCCTAACAATGTCAAAAAGTATTTATGAAATAAAATGCAGTAGAAAGGTTGTCATGTAGCCTATTAAACAAAATCTGCTGTAATGAAATGCAGTGGAAAGGTTGTCCAGTAGCCAATTAAATACAATCTATTATGAAATGATATAAAAATTGATGTAATTGTTAGGTGGGTTTTCTTTTCAGAATCAGACAAGTTATGGGGGTGATAATAATATGTCAATGAATCAAGGATCATACAATAGTGGTGATGGTGGAAATATATTAGGATTAACTCCTTTACAAAATCAGGTAATTTATATAGCACTACTTGATACTAATGGAATAATTCTTAAATCCTTCACAAATACCGTTTGAGTCGGACTTATCTTTGCTTACCTTATTAGATTAATAGTGTTCTTTTGTATATATATATACTATTCAAAAAAAGTAGGGGATATTTGATTTTTAAGTGTTATTAAAGTCACCTAATGAAACTGACGAAGAAACAAATGACAAAATGAAATGAAGTTCACATTCATCGATTTATTCCAAATGATCGTTAGACTAAGTAAGGCACAGACTGACCATTATAAGGGTAAAATGATACCCGGGGTCAAACAGCAAAGTTACCACAGCATCACAACCAATTCAGTAACGGGTAAATCCTCCTCTGTTTGCCAACCAAGCATTGATCCGACGTGGCATACTCCTAATGAGACGTCTAAGGTCATTTTGGTCCAGATTGTCCCATTCCTGTTGCAACGCAGCAGCAAGTTATTGGACATTGGCAGGACGTTGTTGACGTTGACGTAACCTCTGTCCAAGCATGTCCCAGACATGCTCGATGGGGGAGAGGTCGGGACTCAGTGCTGGCCAAGGTAATGTGGTGATGTTCTGTTGTTGGAGGTAACCTGTAACGATCCTGGCCCTGTGACATCTTGCGTTGTCATCCTGGAAGATGAAACGACGGCCATGACGTCGTGCGAACGGCACAACATGGACTGCCAAGATGTTGTCCCGGTAGTACTGGCCTGTAACACGCCCTGCAACAACATGTAAAGCCGTTCTTCCAGCAACAGTGATGCCTCCCCACACCATAACAGAACCACCCCCAAATCGATCATGTCTGATGACGTTAACGTCTTGGAAGCGCTCGTTTCGACGACGCCACACCCTCCTACGTCTGTCCAAAAAATCAACAGTGAACCTTGACTCATCTGAAAACATCACATTGCTCCAGCGTCGATTATCCCAGTGTTGACGATCCCTACACCAACGACGTCTTGCCTGAATGTGATGATCTCTCAAACAAGGGATCACGCGAGGACGTCGGGCGCGAAGGTGACCCCTATGCAGTCGATTCCGAATCGTCTGGCCACTCACTCTCACACCAGTGTCTGTTTGAAGACGAGCGCTGATCTGATTTGCTGTGATGACACGATTTCTCAAGGCCAAGGTACGGATAAATCGATCCTGGGCTTGAGTTGTCGCCCTTGGTCGACCTGAGCGTGGTCTGTCCTGTACAGATTGTGTATCACGGTATCTGGACCATAGCCTGCTTATGACAGACTGAGAAACATTCATCGTCCGAGCCACAACCGCCTGTGTTGTGCCGATCTGTAGCATGCCAAGGACACGTAACCTTTCATTTTGGGTAAGCCGACGCATATCAAAATTTGTTTTCTGGTCACTAAAACAATTAAACTGATGTTTCCACCCTGGAATTCAATGCCACAATGACTGTAACATTCAAAGTCAGAGTCGTGCAAATCTTGGGTTGGACCCCCATGATGATCCCAAGCATCACCTGCATTCCATGCGGTAGCTATTGGTGCGTTTGGGCGTCACATGTAACTGGAAATGTTTCTTCTGTTAGGTTCTATAGTGACTTTTTTCATAGTCATTTGCATATTTTAGTATTATGCCCCCAAAATCAAATATCCCCTACTTTTTTTGAATAGTATATATCTCTCTTTAGTAAAAATGGTGTTTATTTTATTATCTCACTTGATTAACTCAAATATTGGGAGGTCAGAAATGTATGCTACTTTTGGTTTCGGAAAAGTTGCTTCCCTCCATTTTCCATCCTCGGTTACCCAGTGTACTCATTCCATTCTACTCCACTATACCCTGGGTTAATCCATAGGGTTTCCGCGATTTCGAATTATCTGCCCTGGCCTAGAATGTAGCTACAGTCTACAAACCAATCAGAAAACAGTTTACAAACCAATCGTTTCGCCTTTGTTTTTATAAGGGTAGATAACCAAATTCATGTCCATTTACTGAATGATTTATGTAAATATTGAATATATTTATAATTTATTTATAATTAATTGTATTATCAAAATCTGTAGTATGTGTTGTTGATTTCAAATATGTATAACATCTATATGTTTGACTTTTGTTATTATTATTACTGTTCGTTTTTTGTGTGAAATATGTCATTTTGTTATGTTTATTATTATTGAACCACTACTTGGCAATTTGATTCACAATAACTTGTCTATGATATCACGTGGACATAAAATTCCGGAAAGAAGGAACGATTCTAAATAAAACTAATGACCCTACATTATTATATGAACGTCTGGTCTTCATTAACATAATATATAATTGGTTGTCAATAATTACACATTAAGAATAGGCCAACTCCTAACATTGTCCGATGAGAGTTACTTACCTTTGCCAACTTCCTTTTCAAATAACAATTTATGGGATTGGTCGATAAAAATAGCACAATCATCAAGGGCGAATCACTTGAAAACATGTCTCCCCCATAGATTAACCCAGGGTATAGTGGAGTAGAACGGAATGAGTACACTGGGTAACCGAGGATGTCCATTTTCAGGAGGTCTGACATTTACGTTTAGAATAAATATTTCTGTAAAAAAATCTGCGTAATTATAGCGTGGCAACCAATTTAAAGTGATGAATCCCCATGAGATGAAGGGAAAGACTTATTAGCAATTGAAGAAAATTTTAAAAGACCTCTACAAAAATAAGAGAGCAATAGCCATTGTTTATCTCTAGTAGTAAGGGGCAGGCCTGTAGGGCAATTATTTCTACTCTGCCAATACCAATATTCTTTCTATATAATTATAATCAATAAATGTTTTTTTCAAATCCTGTGATTTTTGTAGAGGTTCATTTCACACAAATATTGTTCATTGTAGTATGCTGTTTTCATTGATTTATTTATATGTCTATGACTTTAAATTTATACACAGTGTTTAAGGTCATGGGACGAAGAAGCCTATTGATTTTCAACGATTTCCGATAATTACTGCCAGAGTTATGGCTCTTGATCACTTCAAAAATCTTGTGGACGCTTCAGAGGTCAAAGTTAATATCCGATTGACTTTAAATTTATACACAGTGTTTAAGGTCATGAGATGAGGAATCCTTTTGATTTTCAGCGATTTCCGATAATTACTGCCAGAGTTATGGCCCTTGATCACTTAAAAAAATCTTGTGGACGCTCTAGAGGTCAAAGTTAATATCCGATTGACTTTAAATTTATACACAGTGTTTAAGGTAATGAGACGATGAAGCCTATTGATTTTCAGTGATTTCAGATAATTACTGCCAGAGTTATGGCCCTTGATCACTTCAAAAAATCTTGTGGATGCTCTACAGGCCAAAGTTAATATCCGATTGACTGTAAATTTATACACAGTGTTTAAGGTCATGAGACAAAGAAGCCTATTGATTTTCAGCGATTTCCGATAATTACTGCCAGAGTTATGGCCCTTGATCACTTAAAAAAATCTTGTGGACGCTCTATAGGTCAAAGTTAATATCCGATTGACTTTAAATTTATACACAGTGTTTAAGGTAATGAGACGAAGAAGCCTATTGATTTTCAGCGATTTTCGATAATTACTTCCGGGGTTGACTTCAGATTGATACACAGAGTTTAAGAGCTTGAGACGAACAAGTATATTGATTTTCAATGAATTTTTATGACTTGAACAGCTTAATCCATGATATTAAAAGTTTTGTATACCAACGTTAGCATGGGGCAGAACTTTATAAAAACGAAACAAATTCTAATGGTTTTCTGATAATTACTTCAACAGTTGTTACTCTTAATCAGATTTTAGTGTATTATAAATGTTTCATTACCGAAAGAAGTAAAAATATGCGACAACACTTGTTGACTGCCCGGACGATTTAGCTGCTGTGGGCGTATGTTTCGTTGCCTGGCAACCTATCTTTCACATATCAATATTAAATAAACACGGAGTGAACATATCCATATTCTATTATATTGCAATACACAAGTATTATACAATACATTCTGTATTTAGTTAAGCACGTATTTGATGTTGGACTGTCTTATTATATCAGTAAATATCATGTTTTAATAAAAACAAATATATAGTACTAGCAGATGACCCGGCGCTGCATGGGTTGAAAGTAGTATAACTCGGAAAACGGAAGTCCAACGCCACCTAGCCCATGTTACTGCCCTATACATCAAATTTCACCCTCGGGACAGCCCTAGTGTAGCCCCTGAACAGACAAACAATCGACAGTCACTAACATTAGTATAGATTAGAATGGACAATATAGAAACGTTTTTCTCAAAATTTGCGTTAATGTCAATAATTATAATGTTTTTGAAAATCTTATTTAGAGAATGGATTTTCCACCGCTTTATTGCCATATCGAATGACTGAATAAAAATCATGTTGTCATGTATTGATTTATCAAAATATTTTATTTGATTGAAAATTCTAATTTTATTTGTAGATTCATCAAGTTATCAAGAATAATCCATCAGATACAGGAGCGAGTGTTGTTTCAGTCTGTCAAACATTACGAGGAATACCAGAGAAAGCAATCAAGTAAGTGTTAATTTAATTTAGTTGTCATGAGGTGCTATATCACAAACGGTAGCTGATTTGACATTTGATCTAGTATATCAGCCCCATTAGCAACTTTTAAATCAATTAGCAGCTCAAAGTTATTTATAATGCGCACAATTATGGCCATTTTAATATAAACCCTATTGAAAACGACATGATGTGGTGTTTGACATTGAAATGGCTTATCACTGTCCTGTATTCAACTGCGACTTATACCCAATGGTCAAAGAAATTTTAAATTCTGCATTTCAACTTTAAATCCACTTGGACTTCTAACCCATACCTGTTTTTGTCTTGTATTCGGCATTGACTTTTATACAACGGTCGGAAAGTTATAAAATTCAGCATTTCAACTTTATGATTCTTTTTAAATTAATATTTTTATCTTTTTTCTAGGGATGCAATCGACTTTCTGAGCAGTGAAGGACATATTTATTCTACAATAGATGAAGATCATTACAAAGCAACTGATGGTTGAACTTATTTCAAATGTGAATCATTAAATCGTTGTAAATAAACAATCACAGAGACAGTTTTAAATAAACCCCCCAAACTAGAAAGTATAGTTTGGAATATACATGATGTTATGTAATGTGAGAATAAGACATTCAATTATAAACATACACTTGTTATAAAATATCAGTAAAGATATGTACATATATATCATAGCCTCTGTTATTTTTGTTCCCAATCTTATCAAGGAAAGAAGGGGACTATTCAATTCACTCATCTGTCTGTCACCCCTCCCATTTTATTGGAAGACTGTCACCCTCAAGTAATACTTTCCAACAGATCTGCTTTGAGGAACTTATTATAGTATGAATTAAGTGTGCCCAGTATTTCGGACCTAAACATGAGTTCCATTCCCAAGAACATCTGGATTTTTAATGTACCAGTAGATGAAAATACAGCTACATGTATCCTGCCAAATGATCCTCCCACATGTAACCTTAGTAAATAAAAGATGTTTTGTCCCAGAATGATGCGCTTATGATATATTAAGTGCCACCCCATTTTGTAATATGAACATGACCTATGTATGTAGTTTGTTCAATGGTGGCCCACTAAACGTATGAATGGATTTATTTCCCCAGCCTTACAGTCTTGAGAAATAAAAGGTTATTTGATATTAATAAGAGTTCATCAACAGAATAACTAATTTCTTTGATCCATATGATTAACCAATAAAAAAAATATTTGTGTTTGGTGAGGTATGTAATGATGAATATTGACAATTCTGTCCAGCCAGTCCAGGGGAGAAAACTCCATTTTGAACTATTTGTTCACACAAACTATCAGGGTTCTATTTATCTTGTATTTGGTGCAGTATTTAATGATAAAATCATTAATGCTTTATGAAGCGGTAACAATGGTTTAAAGAATTTGAGGTAGAACTGTTTCATTTCAGGAACTCTATTACATGTACCTCTCTTTTCTCCAAAGATTGTGAAATGGGAAAATAAAGCACCCTCTGGTTCATGATGTATTATTGCAGCTCCTGTCAATATGGACCAAAAAGGCCTTAACATTTTAATCATTTATGGGAAATATCTCCTAGTTTGTGAGTCATTCATTTCCAATGTGCATCATCTATGACATAGAACCAACCCCTTGCTATGTACATGTAATACCCGGACTATTATGATTACATATTAACAACATAGGAAGTATTTTTGCACAATTTATTTTCAACTTAACAAAAGATGCACAAACTCTACTAAAGCAATGCATATTATTTATATTTACATTGTGTTAACAGACAGAAAGTCAATATACATCAACAGTACAGACTTGCTTAATTCTTACATGTACATGAATAGGAGTATAGTGGCTGCTCATACAGATTCTACTGTATTGTCCGATTGCTGTCCAATATTGTGTATCTACACGATCATACATTAACAATACATTTGTAATTTCAAAGGTTTCATATTCACTTTTTCATCATTTTAAATCCCCTCCTCGGTGGCTCCCATCTTAGACAAGAAACATCCACGGTTATAGGGGGCTTTTTATACTGAGCACTCTTTAGATGTTCCTCAACTAACTTGGGTGTTACACAGATCACATGTTGTCCTTTCCAGTATTTCACCATATTCAATGACTGTAATGTGCTAATGATATCATTTTGTGTAATGCTTGTCATTCGACTCAAATCTCGGATTGTCAAAGTTCCTCTAAAGTCTCGTAATATTTCCAGTAGCACCCACGACCAATAACTTCTGTAGCTCAGTTTGCCCAAGTCAGATAAGGGTTTTTCAGGCGAGCCCACGCTTCCATCTATCTTAGAGATTTCGTAACTGAGAGCAATTATGAATTTCCCATATCCTTTACGCTGAAATGGGGGTAGTGTAAGAATACAGGCAACGTTATTACCATCTGGCGACTCTTTCTCTTTTGAGAAGTAACCAACCAAATGACAGCCCGCTCTGTCAACTTCTGTCAAAATATAAAACAAAAAAGGTTCAACATCAAAATACAATGTCTTATGATCAAGAAACAGCTTAGCAAGCAAACACAGATTTTGACAGTAAATCTTCGCATCTTTTCCATCAACTTCAAAAACTGATATAGTTCCACGTCTGTAAACTTCCTTTCCTGGTGGATGTCTTTGGAAACATTGTGTCTGGTGATATCTGTAAGATTTTTCCAGGCGCATATATTTCAAACAATATTCACAGATCCACAACTTGCTCTGCTTTCCATATTCTTCTGGATATGGTGAAAAATACCAGGCATCTATTTCATACTTCCCAATTTGGATCTTGTCAATATATTTGACCTTTGTTATAGCTTCATGCTCCTTCTCCAAAGCAGCGGTAGTTGGGTCCATTTCAGCATAAGTTTTCTGAATGTGGTTAATTTCGTCATGTTTACGTTTTTGATTCCTTGTAATTTTCCTGTCAGTACCATCGGTTAGATCTGTCAAGGATATGGTTAATTCCTTTACTTTGGATTGTTGGTCTTCAATCTTACTGGAAAGATCAAATCTATCAATCTCAACCCATTCATCGAGACGCCGATTGAAGCCGTCATAATGAACGTAAAATTCAGGTTTCACTCCTGGACCGGAGTGATCACTTTGTCTCGTTTGAACAACTTCAGCAGCGTGCCAAGTGTCATCAGATCTTTTGATCATAAAGCGGTCCCCGATATCTGGCAGAACATCACTTCCTGAGTTAGTCGTATTTTTCTCATCCATCTTAGATATTGCTGGGTTCCGAATTTGTTGATTTACTGACGCAGTTTTAGTCAACACAATTGAGTCGTCGGCCATCATTGGCGCAATTGAAGTTTAACCAATGAAAACAGAGCCCTGCATAAACCCCGTAACGCAAATTAGTCTCGATCGTTTAGACTTTGGCTAACTTCAAGCGTAAACTAGAGTTCGTAGGTGTCAATTATGCAGCAACGATGATACTGTATGTTTTGGCCGATATTAAGTCATAATAAACTAACTACTAGCTATTTGACCTACTTAGTATTCCTCGTATTGATGTGACGAGTATTTGTTCCCAATTATCTATTTCATTACAATATTTTGGGGGGATTTGTTCCCCCTTCTTTTTCTCCAATGAGACGAGGGCATGCTTATGAATCGCTAGGTGCGGGACTATCTTGTTTACAACATGGCGTCATTTTTAATTTTCACAGGTATATGCATTACCTGCATCAATAAATTGTTCAAATAATACTATTTTAATACATGTACAGTTACTGCCAGCTTTAAAATGCCACCCAAAAAAACCGTTCCCGCAAAGGGTGTTGCAAAAACGCAGAGTAAAACTGCGACAATTCCGAATAAAGCGGGCAATAAAGCTAAGTCTACAGCAACTCCTGCAGGTATGTACGTACGGTATTGTATTGTAAATAGTTCCTGGCTTGATTGAATGGTCTCTGATCGGACAATGTCCGCAGACCGTTCCTATCCGTCCCTATATAGCTGTAATATGAAAATACCGCCCTTCCCCACTTCTGTTCTAAGGCTAATTTGGAATCCTTACACTACAGACTAGAATTCTTCAGTGTTCGCCAAAACTTAAATGGAATCATTTCTCGCCACATCTCAGATCATCTGACACAAATTTATAAAAATTCAACACTAGTTTCAAATAGAATTTTGTGATTAAAAACTTACACAAAATATGTTTGAATTGATCAGCAATTACCAGACTTTAACATGTGCCGACTGCATGTTTTTTTTTAAAATTTCAAAACTCTACTTGAAAATAGTGTGTGTCAGTCGTGGCGAGAAATGATTTCTTTTGGCGAACAATAAAAGAATTACAGTGAAAAATAGTTGGTAAGGATTCCAAAATAGCCTTAGAACAGAGGTGGAGAAGAGCAATATATTCATATTGCAACTATATAGGGATGGATAGGAAAGGTCAGTGGTCATCGTCAGATCAGTGACCGTTACTAAAGGAACTAGTAAATGTGTTGTCGTTAATTGTTTTGCCTTTGACAATGGCAGTAATAAACTGGGAATCACAGATGTTGAGAGGAAATTTCTTGTTGCTAAATCACTCTGAAATCATTAATTGATGAACTGTGTAAATTTAAGAGAGTTGTGATAGGGATATGATAAAAGAAATAGAAAGATTCTGACAATCAGTTTTGAACCAGGGTGACTGGAAAGTGGTGAATTAAATCTGTAAATGATTGGTGTCTGCTATAGGAAATGTTTTGACAATCTAATGTTTAGTTTAATAACAGAGAAATCAGTTTGGATTTAAATGAACTTATTTTTCATAGCATTTTGAAAATTTTATGTTTCGATTGCAGCGCCAAAGAAAAATACAACAACCGCTGGTAAAGGAAAACCAGTAACAAGTAAAAACAGTACTAATGTTGCAAAGCCAAAAGAAAAAGTATGGACAAAGGAAGATGAAGCTGCATGTAAAATACAATCTAAAGTTCGACAATTTTTGGGAAAGAAAGCTTTGCAAAGAAAACTTAAAGAAAAAGAAGAATATGAAGAGTTAATGGTTAGACTTGAAAAGGAGGTACAGTACTATCATATGCAAATAATAGTTCATGTCCCTTTCTTTGATAATTGAAGAACTAGAAATACTTCATAATTGAGCAATAAACAATTCCAAACTACTTTGACCGTTAAACTTAGTGTGAGCTCCTGCAGCATTTGATTTTCATTTCAGTATTTTAAAGAAAAAGAAATTAACATTAACATCAACATAAGATAAACTCACCAGTTTGACCAAATTTCCAGACTGTCTGAATTGATGTTTCGAAATTTCAATATATGTTTGAATTAAATCTTGATATTATTTGGGTATCACATATTCTTTTGGTAGAATTAGTTTTAAACCATGTTTTATTTATCTCAGGCATTTGTACAAATGGTGAAAATGCAACAAGAAGAAATTGATAGACAGATGAAAAAAGAAGACGAAGAAAGAAAAAGAAAGAAAGAAGAAGCTAAAAGAAAGAAGAGAATGTTAGAAGCAGCTTATGATGGTGATATTGATGCTATAGAAGCTATTCTACAAGAGGTGAAGATTGTTTTAATTGTACATATAATAATTAATGATGTGTCATGCACCAGAAAGGATGTCCAGAACACTGGTATAATACTACTATAGGGCCTATATACTGTAGAGGTTACCTAAGTTCTGTATAAGATGCTCTGGTTAATGTATTGAAGTCGTTAGCTAGTACCAGTGACAACGAGAACTAGGTTAACAAGGATAAGTCTGGTAGTTTGAATTGGGCAATGACATCATAGTCTGATAATCCAAATATGGTAATCCCATGCTTTAGACACGTGGGCAACTATCCTCCTTCGACCTTGTGCCCATATTAGTACAATGGGTTTAAATCCAGGGTAGCGTCTGTGCAGCTGACCAATCCGATGACTCGTGCACGTATCCTCTTTATATAAGAAGAGCAGGGTTAACTTTCCCTTCAGACATCATTAAGAGATCCTAGAGAAGATATCATTCAGAGTTCCTAGGGGAATATCATACCCATAGCCTCCTCGGCTGAGAGGCTGAGAAACACCACCGCAAAACACAAGCTAGGGGATAGAGAACTTATATATAAAATGTCATAGCTGTGTGTGTAGTTTCCTGTATATAACCGTTGTATTATGGATGTTATAAAGATATAAAAACATAGTTAACCAAGAAAGTGTTCCAGAGTCAATTGACTTTTGCAGTTTATATACAGCGTGAACATCTTGACTAGATAAGTGCCACCCTAGTGTCACGGGCCGTATACACAAGGTGGAAGTAATTCATAATTCATCTATTTAACGACACCGTAGTGTCACACTGGGTTCGTCACTGAGACGGCATAAAGATATGATATGTAAGTGTCATTTGACCTCATTGTCAAGTACCGTGAACGACTAATAAATTATGGCACTTAGCAATTCTAGATCTAGTTTTGTATGAAAGGATATGGAAATAAATGATTATTTGAATGAAATTAAATAATCGCAATGAACAAGCATATATTTTTAGTAAAGAAATACAATTACAATATACTGGTGCTGGTGCTGATATATGTGAATGGGTCCAAATAAAACTGGTGGGTTGAGTAGACAAATGGTTTAGAGCATTGATTCAAGTGGCATGATTTTGATTCCCCCACTTGTACGGACAAGGAGTAGGAATGCATATACAAGCTTGTGGGTTTTCTTCAGGCCTTCAGGTTTTCTCCCATTGTGTAACACTATATGTTAATCTCAAAATGACTTAGTTTGTGTTGAGTGGATGTTAAACGCCATTTCTCTCTCTATCCAAGTAAACTCAAGCTATGGTATCTTCATCACCAAAGTTCTTGACTGATGCATTATATAAGATTTAGATAAAGAGCTGACAGTTCTCGCTTTAAAAGTTAAAAAATAGATAATGAAAAGGGAATATGTTGAAAATTTCAGTCAAATTCATTCATTCTGAGCCGAGTTATTGTCGATTGTAGAACAGTGTAGTCACGATTGTCATTGCTACCTTTATTACAATAATAAACAGAGTGTCATTTATCCATATTTAAATTAAATTATTAACTGCCAATCATATTTAAATCTGTTGAAAATCAAGAGCATCCGATGACATCTAGAGCTGATTATGGTCTTGGCAAGTTAATAAATGTCTAATTAATAATTTATATAACATTTAAGGCCTAAAGAAATAGGCAGATTTAGTTTTTGAATAATGCATCTTTAAATGTAGCTCACACCTCTCCTACAAAATACATGTAGAATAATTGCTAAAGAAATATGTGTTTGTAATACTTCCCCCCCCCCCCCAAAAAAAAAAATGGTATGTAAGTCACAGATATTGTGAAGATAATGTCTTTTCCAATATTTGAAATTTTCGTCAACGTTTATCAATAGTCCAGACTGCAATCTCTAGATCATTCTGATTGCCTGTCTACTTTGATCTACCTCATTTAATGGCTATAGTGGAGCAACTTGAAATTGTATTGTAAACATGTAACTGTGAGTCTGGCTGTTTTTTTAAATATATCTATTGTGCAGTGTTGTTGTTTTTTTTATCAATAGGTAAAAGATCTGGATGATAAAAATAATATAGGACATGATGTAATTGGTAAAGCAATCAGAAATAAACATCTGCAAGCCATGATTGAATGTGAAGATGCAAATGAAAATACTCCACTATCAGAAGCTGCTAGTAAGTTTGACACTATGTTTTTATAGGGGCCTGGGGGGTCCACGGTGGTTTGGTGGGTAGAACATTGGCTTGTTAACCTGGATGTCCTGTGTTTGATCCCAGCATTGGCGGAGAAAGTTCATTGGGATTTTCCGGCATGGTTCTCCCCCTTGTCAGTGATGTAGGAAGGAGGACCTGGCAAGGGACGACGTAGAGTCGTTCAGATAGGATGAAAAACCAAGGTCCTTCTGTACACATTGACAACCATGTAAAAGCCCACGACAGTTGGAATTCGAAATAAGAGTAGTCCGCAGCGCCGCTGTCCAGGCAAAATTTCCCTCATAGCATACTGCATGGCCTATGCAGTATGGCCGAAACATGTGCACATTAGATCATAAGGTCTGCAATTGACTCAAGTGCCTTTGTTTCTCTATATATTTTTTTTTGCTGTTCAGATACTGGACAATTTAGCTGCTGTGGGCTGGCAACCTATCTTTAGTTTAGTACTATCCAATCTTACACCACAAAAAAGGAGATAAACTGATATTCTGACAAACCCTATTTGGTGGTAGCTTAATATCCGAAAACACAGGTATTATTTTATTTGGCCTTTTATATTATACAAAACATGCTACTATATGTTATGAAATTGTTTTAAATACTTTATAGGTGGAGGACATACAGAAACTATCAAATTTCTGTTAGATCGTGAAGCTGACCCTAATACTAAAGGTCAATTTCAAAGAACGCCATTATATAGAGCGGCTTTTGCTGGTCATTTGGAACCATGCCAGGTAGATTAAACATTTTGTAGTTGTGTTGACAGTATTTTGCGGCAATCATTTACATGTCTGGATTTTTTTATATATGTTGCATGCTTTGCCTATGATTTGGGGGGAGGTTTCCCTTTTTTTCTCAGTGCTAAAATTATGAAATAAGTATTTACCATGTGTTAATCTCAAAATGATCTTGCAGGGTTGAGTCTATGGATATTAAATCCTATGTCTGTATCTCCCCTCTCCTAATATTAAAAAGGAATTTCAATTGTAGAATGTATTATTGTCTAGTTCTTCAGATGGTAATCTGAAAATGATCTAGCTGGGTTGAGTGACTTGTGTCCATGGATATTAAATTCTATTTCTGTATCTCCCCTCTCTTAATGTTAAAAAGGAATTTTAATCGTGGAATGTATGTTGTCTAGTTCTTCAGATGGTAATAAAACACAATAATAAGTGTTTACATTTGCAATGCATGTAAATGGTCACAGTAAAATTCTTCCATATCACAAGAGAATAATTTAGTCTCAAAATGACCTATATATAATGTCGACAACCAATAAAATTTCTGATTAATTTTTAATCTACAGATTTTACTACAGAATGGAGCAGATCCACGACTATATGCTTCTGATGGACAGACACCAGAACAGGTACCCATATTTATTTATTCTAAATTATATTGTTATCTATCTTTCACAGAAATTTATAATACTTTGATGATAAAATTTAAAGTTTCATTTCACAATATGCCGGTATTTCAATAAAAATGTAGAAGTCAAGTCTATTTAAAACCCCTAGGGGCTTGCTTACATATTGTCCTGTGTCTAGTCCCTTGCATGGGATGAAAGACCAAAATCTTGTGTCAGTTGCAATCAAAAATAAGATCTGACTGTAGTTTTGCTGTCCAAGCAAAATTTCACTTATAGCACATTGTATGGCATATTCCCGTCTTCATGAGCTCAGTTGGTGCAAAAAAATGGGACTTGAAACCCTATTATATTTAATTTACTTATATTTCATTAAATATTCAACAATGGAATTAATTAAATATATATTTATAGTTCGTAATACCTAGGTCCTTTGAACATGATGCCTGCAAAACAACCCTAACTCAATCAGTCTGTAAATGTGTTTTAGGTTGCGTCACTACAAGCTATACAGGTAATGTTAGAAGGTTGGGATATATCTCAAACAGAATCATTGTTACACAGAATCGAAGCTTATAAAGAAAAACGACAAGAAGAAAATAGAGTGCGCAGAGAAGCTGAACAAAACAAGTAATTTTAAACATTTTTTTTCATTGGGATTTGGGAAGTTACTAACTAATGTTTTGACTATTGAGACTGTTACTGGGTACATCTTTTTATATTGTATCCCTGAAAAGATTTAAGAAGCAATGCTGAAGCCTTTAAATTATTGCTAAGTTTTTCAGGATTTTCCGACGTGGTTTCCCCTTGTCAGTGCTGCAAGACAGAGGGCCCGACTAGAACAGCTGTCTGGTCGTTTAAATGGGATGAAAAACCGAGGTCCTGTGTATACATTGGTGTGCATGTAAAAGATCCATTGGCAGTAGTAATTTGATATAAGAGTAGGCCATAGTGCCACTGCCCATGCAAAATTTCCCTCATAGTACACAGTATGGCGTATGCTTGTCTTCATTATCCCAGTTGGAGCAGAACAGTAGGACGTTAAACCCCATGTCTGCAAGACCACAACCAATCTAATGGACATCTTTTGGTCTCCTCCACCCACTTCCCTATTATTGTATTCTTTTCAGCTTCTGATAAGTGTATGAAAAAAATGATGAATAAACTGGCTGCTTCAATCATTTGCAAAGCCAAATTTACTGTTTTGTGTACAGTATAAATTATGTTGTAATGTCCAAATATTGGTTGATTATAATTGTGGCCATATCAGATGATTCAATATTTTATTATTATATTGTAGACTTGAAGGACAGATAGAAACTGCTAAAAAAGAATATGAAACAAAACAGAAACAGGTAGGTTGTGTGAAATTATATAAGTAAGTAAGTAAGTAAATTTATTGCATAAAAATGCACACGAGGAGCAGCATACAATAACAAAAATTATATTAATACAATACAAGAAATATACATGTAACAAATAGATCTATAAATAGATAATCTCTGTATTTTATTTTTTACAGTTTTTTTTATACGCCCACATTGTACGAAAAATCACGTTTTTAGCTTGTGGACCCTATGGAGGTCACAATTTTTATCCGATTTTGTTGAAACTTGAAATGTAGGTTTATAACCTAGACATCTTGGTTCCTTTCGATATTTGCGCAAGCGTAACTTCCTAAATTATGGCCCCTGATTGTACGAAAAATCACGTTTTTAGCTTGTGGACCCTATAGAGGTCATAATTTTTATCCGATTTAAAAAAACGTGTTAATATATCACCGTTACACCGTTCATTCTCAAATAGCATAAAAATATGGTATATCAAGGTTGTGGACCCTATAGAGGTCACAATTTTAATCCGATTTTGTTGAAACTTGAAATGTAAGTTTATAACACAAAGATCTCGGTTTCTTTCGATATTTGCTCACATCGGACCGTAACTTCCTGAATTATGGCCCCTAATTGTACGAAAAATCGTGTTTTTAATTTGTGGACCCTATAGAGGTCAAAATTTTTATCCGATTTAAAAAAAAACGTATTATTATATCACTGTTACACCCTAAGGATGGCTGAGTTCGAATTTTGTGAAAATCGGCCCTCGCTCTCCAATAGCATAAAAATATGGTATATCAAACTTGTGGACCCTATAGAGGTCACAATTTTTATCCGATTTTGTTGAAACTTCAAATGTAAGTTTATAACCCAAAGATCTTGGTTTCTATCGATATTTGCGCATATCGAATTGTAGGCGTATCCTGCCTGGCAGCAGCTGGTTTACAGTTTTTTTGGGTTTTTTTTACAGTGTTTTTTACTTTTTATTATATCATTATATTTCAATTTAGACCATTTATTTGCCTCCTGTTAAATACAACATGTTGGGACATTTTTTTCCTTTTCTAGTAAATACAGCATATTGTAACTTTTCTAGTAAATACAACATAATTATTGTAACTTTTCTAGTAAATACAACATATTGTAACCGAATAAATACAACATATATTGTGAATTTTGGAAGCTAGTTTGGCTTAATAAGGCCGTGGCTTGCTACTCAGGATGTTTCATGTTCGCTCCCGATGTTGGCCAAGAAAGTTCCTGTCGATCATCTGGCATGCTTTCCCCTTGTCAGCGGTGCAAGACAGATGGCATGGCAAGGAACAGTGTCTAGTTGTTCGAATGGGATGGAAACCCATGATAGGAGGCTAAAGTGTAGCTGTCCGGTCACTGCATGGCTTATGCACATATTCCATTGCTCAGTCAGTGCAGAAAAGTAGGACTTTAAACCACATTTAATTTCATTTATTGTGAATTTTGTACCTTTTTTAGTTTATTGTAACTTTTTTTTATCTTTTAAGTTAAACACAGCTTATTGTGAGTTAAATAAAAGAATATTAGAACATGATTTGGCGTCTGCTTCAGGTTTTGATCGTCCAGAGTTAACCTTACAGGTAGGCCTAATTATATTATTCATATGACTTAGATTGACTTGAAAACAAATTTTGATTTAAATGTGCCCTGTATATTTGTAAAATCTGTATTGACTTCCAGTGATTTCATTTTAAATTATTTTCATCCTCTAGGTGTGTGTATTGCAGTCCATTGCAGTGTGTATTGCAATATATTGTGATATGTGATATAACCCTGTGTTTTGTGATACACATTGCAATATATATGTGGTGAAATCTATGTCTTTAACACTTAAGTTTGACGTCATAACATCATAAAAACCACATCATAATGGTAATCCATAATTAGCAGAACATTTTTGTGTAGGCCTAGACAATATCACTGTTTTATCAAAATTATTCAAGAAGAAACAGTACGATTTTATTGTCAAGATGTCAAACAAGAAGTAAACAAATGAGTGAAAGCCGTCTGTTTATAAGGGAAGTAACTCTTATTATGCTAGGAACGTTGCATTCGGTTTTGTCGATAAAAGTCGCCGCGGGTACTTAACAGTAACGTCATAATAGGTGTCGACAAAAGTCGACTTGGTTCAGCTAAGAGTTAAGGAAAACCTTATTTTTATCAGCCATGTCATCCTAAAATAAAGTGCATTTTGATACAATGAAATCATTTTAAAATAATCAATACACCAAATTCTGTCTTGTGATGCGAAGTTGCGGTAGATCTGTATTGCAATATTTCAATATATCAATTTTTTTATGACAGCCGTATCATACACCACTGAACTTGATTGGTCGTAAAAACATACTTCACAAGAAATTATGTAATTTTTATTCCAGGCAATTCACGATGCCGAGTTAGATTTAGAGGTGATAAAAATGGACACAGAAAAGGCAAAAGAAAAACTATCTCAGGCCAGATTAAAATTACGAGAACAGCAGAAACAAAGTGGTAAGTCTTTTGTCCCACCCTTTAACTTGATGTTTAAATCAAAGTAATTAACTTGGAGTAGTAGTGGTTGAGTGGTCTGATGCATGCACTTTAGATCATAAGAGAGAATTCAGTTCCAGAATGGTTAATCAAGTATCCCCCATAGAGTCAGGTGACATGGTTTTGATCTCAAGTTTGTATGTGACAAAGAGTAAAGGTTGTCTGCCCCATCCCTTGGGTTCTCTCCCGACTATTCCCAAAAGGTGTTGAGTAATTAACAACACTGCCCTGGAAAGTAAACAGTTGTAAACCTAACAATCATTATATAATCCAGACCGACTATTTTAAATCTTCTTTGATTGGTATTTTCTTTGATTGGCTTTTAGTAATTGAACATATTAACACAATTTACAATTTTATGGATATACAATTACTGAGTTTAATACTAAGCAATGTTTCATCTTGATAAAGACGTACGAGAGTATCCTCGTCGAAATGTCGCTTAGTATTAAATTCAGTAATTGTGTATCCATAAAATTGTACCTTGTGTTGACCATTTTAAACTATGCGACAATAGAAACCCACTAGTTTTTGATGATTCTCAACGAATTTGAACAATTTGCCAACAGTGGTTTGAAACTAAACATTAAATATAGAAGCTCCTGCTACATGATACCTGATTTGTAGTAAAAGACCCCTATAGACTGTTTCATTGAGAATTCAAGTTGGATATAATGCAAATTTGAACTGAAAAAAATAAAAACATGCTGTGGGTGTGGTTGAAAAGAAAATTAAATAAACCTTGCTCTGAATTTAATTTTTCAGTTGATGGAGATTTAGATGATAACCTGCCGGGTGTCAAGGTCATGATTCGAGAATTGGATGAAGTTTTAATTAGAGATGTCGGCAATAAGATAAAAGATTCTGGAAAGTAAGTCGACTTCGAGTAATTATCATCTAGACCTCCCGGTAGGATTTTATTTGTATATTAACCACAGAACACTTAGGCTGGTGTTTTGTGTGAATTTTTTTGCATTAGCTTTAATTCAGTAGATCTGGGCATTGTTTCTCAAAATCTTAACTAATGATAAAATCCAAATTTTAGTAGATACTTCAATTTTGATTGGCTAAGCACTAAAATCAATCTAATATTATCCAATCAAATTACTAAAATTTGGATTTTATCTTAATTAAAATTTCGTGTAACAGGCCCCTGTATTTTAAAGTTAAAAGAGTAATTTCAGTGATTAACAGTTTACAATTTTAAGAATTGTTCTATAGCTGTGCAGGATGGGAGATCCTGGCAAGTAAAATCATCTAGTCATTTATTCAGTTCTGTGTATTGAAATGAAATGAAATAGGGTTTAACTCATACTCTTCTGCTCCGACTGGTCTAATGAAGTGTGCTATGAGGGAAATTTTGCCTGGGCAATGGCACTATGGCCTACTTTAATATCAAATTCCAACTGCAAAGGGATCTTTTACATGCACGCCAATGTATACACCGAACCTTGGCTTTTCGTCCTGCACCACTGCCAAGGTAAAAACCACGTCGAAAGATCCTGATGAACCAGTTCTGTGTATACTATTGCCAATGGTCCATTGGATGCATGTTAAAGATCCCCTTTATATTGGAAAATGAAAGAATAGTAGGCTATAACTCTGCTATCAGGGCAGATTTCCCCTCTTAGCACACTGTATGATGTACGAGGGCAGGCTGAAAAGTTCTAAAGTCTGAAAGGATCGATCAATTGGGTTGAAACAAACTTTTGTCACCAACAAGTACAATCATTGAATGAATCAAAGAACTGCAACTGTAGTGTTATTATTGTCTTCGTACCAGACTATCTTGTGAACCTACCCATTGAAATCACCAGAAATGGACAAAATTGGCTATAGGGCAGTCATCAAATACCAGCAACTGAAAGGACTGACCCCAACACAGATGCATGCTGACATGATGCCCCTTCCTTTTAAACAGTCCAGAAGTGGGCTGCAGAATTTAAGTGTGGAAGATCAACAGCAACCATTCAAGAAAACATTACCCGGGTGCATGTTGATGGCTGATCGATGATTGACCACTCGACATATTGCCAGTATTGTGGGCATCTCTCAAGAGTGGGTTGAGCACATTATCGCCACATTGTAACCATGGATGAGACCTGGATTCATCACTTTCAACCAGAATTCAAAATTCAGTCAGTTTTTATACCTGACCGTCATCCAGGCCTTGTAACATTGTTGGCAAAGGTGTGTACACCTTGAAGGGGACCATGTAGAAAAATGTATGGAAACATCGACTTTGTACAGGTCTTTCACAGATAGGCTTAGAACTGTTCAGCCAGCCCTTGTATGTCTGGGGGGGGGTTAGGCTTAGAACTGTTCAGCCAGCCCTTGTATGTTTGGGGGGTTAGGCTTAGAACTGTTCAGCCAGCCCTTGTATGCCCAGGGGGTTGGGTGGCTGAATGGTTAAAGTGTGCGCGTAGCATCATTAGGTCTGTCATTGAGTCAAGTGGCATGGTTTCGATTCCCAGCCTGTACATGACAAGGAGTAGGGTTGCCTGTCCAACCTCATGGGCTTTCTCCGGGTCATTCGGTTTCCTCCCTGTGCTACGTGCAAGCAAATTAATGAAATAAAATTGAACCATATGTTAGTCCTGAAATGACCAAGTTTGTGTTGAGTGGATGTTAAACCCCATTTCTCCCTCTCTCTCTCTCTCCCTTGTATGTCCATCTTGTCTATCTTTATTAGCCCAGTTTTTCCAGAAAGTAGGATGTTAAACCCCATTTCATTTCATTTCTTTTTAGCTTTAGTATTATAGCTGCTACAAGTACATATTGTTCTTTTATTTCAGGTGGCCTTTTATTATTGATACCAGTGGACAGGCCGCTATATTTTTACGTTATAGAGATACAAATATGCTAAATGCTTTAAGACCAGTTGACATGGAACCAGAGACTATCAGGATGGCTTTACTTGGTGCTATTAGGTATGTTTCAAGATGGTCCTTTATAGTGTTGAAACTACTATTCGGATATCCGTTAACGGATACAAAATAAGGGTTATCCAAATCATTTTACTATCCGTTTACTATTCGTTACAATATATTCTGACATTCCCTATGCTCTATATTTAGCCATTTTTACATCTGATTACTTTGAAATTTTCCCCAATGCTATTGATCACGTACGCAGCTTTGAGCATAAATGTTAATATCACACGTATTATTTAGCGATAGTATTAACTAATAAAAATATTAATGCAGTGCAACGAAAACAGTAGTCTAAATAAAAAAAATATTCATTCATTCCTCGCGCTGGTTTACGCTAGATAGAAGCTACTTCTTGGGTTTACGGGATACAAGTTAACACTGTGTTTAGACTTCCCGCACTGTAATTTATTCATAACGACCTAGATCACGTATATTCTCACTTACTGATTGGTTCAATAGCAGTAGATTATCAGAATGAGGCAAACGACCTTGGCGGAAAAAATGTTAGATGTTTTTATTTTACTTTCTTCATTCGTGTTGATTGAGCAAAAATGATAAGTGGGAGGGCCGCGGATTACAGGAGTAGTTATACACAAATTTATTCACCGCGTTGATTTTTTTGGATATCATGAATAGTCTTAATAATTGCGGCTAAAGGTAGGCATGTTTTTTTCTTCGCGGCTCAAACAATTTGCAAACCGAAAGTAAGATTTCATACTCGGCATACGCAGACACTCATAAACATTGAAATAAGTAAGAAATTATGAGTATATGAACTTTCGATGTGATTTTGTTCAAGAATTTCATGTTTCCGAATTATCCGACGAAACGTATTCGGATAGCAAACAAAAGTATTTGGATCACAAATCTCTATCCGATTTTCAACACTAGTCCTTTAACTGTGTTTACCATTATGAAATTATATAATTTTAATGCTCTTTGTAATGAAATTTTATAATTTTAATGCTCTTTACTTTAGTTTTGACCCAAATCAATTGTTTATATCGAGATATCATCAGAAGATATGGTGCTTTGATTTACTGATGACCAATTAAAGATATAGTCCCCTTAACTTAATAAGGTCATTTAGATCTGAAAGTATATTATTTGTAGACATAATTATAGACAAAAACTGCCTTTTAAGTCAACCAGAAATGAAATAAGTTAATTGTTACAGAGTGTCAACCAGTGAATCTGCCGTTGATATCATGCATGTATTACTCATATGTTGCCAGTGACAACAGCGCTCCTACATATGTTGATGGCTACCTTGATCTTTGCAGATAACTAAAAAGTTTCCCTTGAAGTATTTGTAAAGATGTTAAGTCTTTTCCTGGTAGTTTGGATGGGGCTTCAAATGATTGTTATTTATTTAGGATCAAGACTACATTTTCTATTTTGTAGATTTGGTAAACCGTTTATAATAGATATGATGGAAGTAGATATGTTTGAAGTTTGTGTAGATAGATTTGATGAAATACAGAAAGGATTAATGGATGCTTTATTAGATAAAAGTTTATTAGAGGCGGAGAAGTAAGTAAAGAGAGATACTTTGGCTGATTAGATTAACTTAGTCTGCAATATTGTCTCAACGTTATGCCAGGTAGACAGAATCATTAACTAAGACCACTTGAAAAACTTCTTTTTTTTTTTTAATATAAGCACTGAATTGAACGCTTTCTCAGCCAGAGCATTAACACAAATTATGGCAATGATTAAATTTTACGAATTTTGGCAATACCATTGCCAAAAAATCTATTTCATCATCCAAGAAGAATCTTAAGGATTTTTCATACTTGTCAGCGCTGCAGGATGAGTTGGAAAGTGTGCCAAGTTGTTTGTCGGATGGGATAAAAAAGCGAAGGCCATCCATGTACAAAATATGTTTGTCGGATGGGACAAAAGAAAAAATGATGTCCACCCATGTAAACAATATGCAGGAAAGTGTACCAATTGATGTCCAACCATGTACACAATATGCAGGCACCTAAAAGAAACCCTTTAAAGTGGTCAGAAACACTCCTGTCCTCCTTGTACCAAAGTATTATGTTGATTAGATCTTAAACCTCATGGGGGGTTGGATGGCACGCTGTATCATAAAGTCTGTCATTGAGTTATCTGGCGTGGTTTCGATTCCCCGGTTGTACGTGAATAGGAGTAGGGTCGGCTGTCCAACCTCATGGGTTTTCTCTGGTTCCTCCGGTTTCCTCCCACTGCTAGAGACCCCTACGCGCAAGCGAATTGTTGAAATAAAATTGAACCATGTGTTAGTCCCAAAATGACCTAGTTTGTGTCGAGTGGACGTTAAACCCCATTGCTCTCTCTCTTGCTCCATTTTCTCTAATTCTAATTACCATATAAATAGTTATTATCTATATTTTCAGGTTCATGTCCTTAACCAAAGAAACCGATGGTGCAGAATATCAACCAACTCGTCATTTTATGGCCGATAATTTCAAATTCTTCTTTATTACCTCAAATTCTTATCCTAATGATGGCTTACTTAATAGGACATACCCAATCAGAATAATTCTACCAAAATAAATTGAGGTGTTCTGGTGGTTTAACCATGTGAGATTAACAAGGGTGAAACAAAGTGAACAATGTGCATAAGGGAAATTCCCCTATTGGTTTTCTCTGATTAGGATTCCAGTGCATCAATTTGTTAAAAACTAAATTTCCACATATAAAAGAGCCAAAACTGCTTTCGTTGATACATAATATGTTGAATTGGGTTCCGATGTGATATATCATTCTGACAGATTTACCTAATGTGGGTTTGTTAAGAAATTTTAGTTAGGATTTGGATTAAACTGTAAAACCCAAAATCAGTTATACCTAATAATATTACCTTTATCTGTTGATCGAAAATAAACTTAAAATATAGATGTACTACAACCTGCCAAACAAAACCACAGATTAAATTTAATTAAATCAATAATTAGTTGTTTTTTCCCCCCAAATCAAAGAGGTTGTATCATTTTAAATGTGTTAATAGTGGATTTTATTGGGAAAGGTGTGGAATGTTTTAAGTGTTTTATTAATTTACTCTATGAACATTGTTTTATGAAGTGTTATTAAGGCTAATATATAAAGGCATTATGTTAATCCTGCCAAACATAATCTGTGATATTTATTATTAATATATTGTTAATCTATTGATTGCATTATTATTGTCATTTGTCATATTATATTATGTTGATATATACTCATAGAAATAGGAAATATATTAATCTAACTTATCCCATTACTGTTAATGATTTTATGTCAATTCATTATTTCATATTCTTCTAAAGTAACCGTGCAATTTATGGTTTATTTGAAATGCCGGAAGCAATAGTAAACATGCTTTAATGAGCTGATAATACCTCGAAACATTGTTACAGTAACATGGATGGACTTGTCGGATGTAATATTTTTTTTCTTTTTCTATGTTGTAGCTATAGAGAGAAACATTTTTAATTTGATATCACCTTGATACTTGTACGATGTATTGTGATATTTAAAATATTAACAATCAGAACTCTTAGTTCTATTTATGACCCTTTCAGATAGGGGGAGTTGGGTGGCCGAATGGTTAGCACGTGCGTGCTGTATCATAAGGCCTGTCATTGAGTCAACTGGCGTGGTTTCGAATCCCCGATTGTATGTGACGAGGAGTAGGGTCGCCTGTCCAGCCTTGTTGGTTTTCTCCGGGTTCTCCGGTTTCCTCCCACTGCTAAAGACCCCTACGCGCAAGCGAATTATTGAAATAAAATTAAACCATATGTTAGTCCCGAAATGACCTAGTTTGTGTCGAGTGGACGTTAAACCCCATTTCTCTCTCTCTCTCCCTTTCAGATAGGTGTCCATGAAAGGGTACAATATATTATTTGGGGATTGACATCCATATTTTTATTTCAATAAATTGCATGCGCGTATAGATCTTTAGCAGTGGGAGGAATCCAGTAGGATCCTGAGAAAATCCACAAGCTTTGTCAGGCGACCCTAATCCTTGTCAAGATTGGAACCAACCCACTTGATTCAGTGACATATCTTATGGTCTAAAGCGCAAGCATTAAACTACTCGACCACCCAGTCCTCCTATATATTATTGGTAGCACATGATACTAGGGCATCGGTACCACTGCAATATAGGTCCACATTTCTGCTTTAGAATGAAATATGAAATGGCTGCAATGACTGTAATATGACAAGAGGCAAAGAAGGCTAGGCGTTGGATTTGTTTTGCAATATTTACAGACTAAATATTAACAAAAAAGTGGGTGTCTTTGCAGTATAAGGAATAAATATGCAAAGTTCCAAGATGATCCATTCTGACTTGCAGTCTGTAGACGATAAACACAACAATTGGGCGTGACTCTGCCCCTCGGGGTTGGACATGGAATAAAAAAGATGGTGTGACACTGCCCCAGGGGGTCGGGGCATGCACCAAATTAAATAGTTGCTGTCTTTACGGTATAAGGAATAAATATGCAAAGTTCCAAGATGATCCATTCAGAATTACAACCTATAAATAAACGATAAACATAAAAATTGGGCGTAGCTCTCTCCCTTGGGGGTGGATATGGAACAATATAAATAGGTTCATCCCTATGATTGATCATGCCGAATTGGATCCAAATCTGTTATTACATGTAATTCCAACATGCAGATTATTTACAGACAAAATATTAACAAAATGTAGGTGTGGCACCTCTCAAGGGGCGTGGACCATGCACCAAAATCAATAGTTGCCCTCCTTAGGATATAAGAAATAAGTATACCAAGTTCCAAGATAATTCATTATTCTGGCCTTAGGGCTAAACACAAAAATTCAGGCGATTGGGACATGTACAAAACCAATAGTTGCACCCTTAAGCTTTAAGGAATACATATACCAAGCTGCAAGACAATCCATTCACAATTGCGGCCTGCATACGATAAACACAAAAAAATGGGCGTGGGTCTGCCCCTGTGGGCCGGGACATGCACCAGAATCGATAATTGCCGTCCGTAGGCTATAAGGCATACATATGCCAAGTTCCGAGACGATCCATTAAGAATTATGGTCTGTAGACAACCCACAGACACACAAAGAAAAAATGGGCGCAGCTCTGCCCCTGCGTTTAAACATGCATTATGCAAGAGCTAAATCTGCCTATTGCAGGTCTTTCTTTAGGCCTAAAATGTTTTCTAAAGTATTAATTAGACATTAATTAACTAATCCAGGCCTTAATCAACTCTCGATGGCATCAGATTTCTCCGATATTAAATAGATTAGAATAGTTCAGCGATACTTTGATTTAATCAAATATGGAGGACCGAGACTTAGCTTCGATCAACCAGTACGGTGGTTGAAATTATTGCACACACGTCTGTCAAACCTTCAAAGGCTTTGTCAAAGGCTAATATCTTCGCTTGCAATAGAGTAATTTGAATGAAATTTTCAAATTATTCATTTTACATCATCTACTTTCGAACTATTATAGCAAGAATGGCTAGTTCTTTATCTAAATCTTACATAAAGTTTCTAAAGGATCTGTTAAGAATGTTGGCCTGTTGGTGACACATATACAATATTGGGCTCGGCTCTGTCCTAGGGGGTCGGGCATGCACCAAAAATAATTTAGGTCATTCCTAGGGTATAAGGAATAAGTGTGACAAGTTTTCAAGACGATTCATTAGGAATTGCGGCCTATAGGCGACACGCAAAGCGAAAATGGGCGTGGTTCTGCCCCTACACTGGTATGGCAAGACCATCAGACGCCCCAACCGTCCCATACCAAGTTATTTTTTATACGCCCACATTTTCATGTGGACGTATTATGTCGTCGCCCCTGTCCGTCCGGACGTCCGTCCGTCCGTCCACAATTGTTTGTGGACTCTCTACAGGTCACAATTCTTATCCGATTTTGACGAAACTTGAAATATAGGTTTATCCCCAAAAGATCTCGGCTGCTTTCGATATTGGCATGTATCGGATCGAAACTTCATGGATTATGGCCCCTGATTGTACGAAAAATCACGTTTTTAGCTTGTGGACCTTATAGAGGTCACAATTTTTATCCGATTTTTTTAAAACTTGAAATGTAAGTTTATAACCCAAAGATCTCAGTTCCTTTCGATATTCGCGCATATCGGATCGTATTATTATATCACCGTTACACCCTAAGGACGACTGAGTTCGAATTTCGTGGAAATCGGCCCAAAATTGACAGCAAAATGGCCGCCGTTCGTTCTCAAATAGCGTAAAAATATGGTATATCAAGGTTGTGGACCCTATAGAGGTCACAATTTTTATCCGATTGTGTTGAAAATTGAAATGTAAGTTTATAACCCAAAGATCTCGGTTCCTTTCGATATTCGCGCATATCGGACTGTAACTTCCTGAATTATGGCCCCTGATTATACGAAAAATCACGTTTTTAGCTTGTGGAACCTATAGAGGTCATAATTTTTATCCGATTTAAAAAAAACCCGTATTATTATATCACCGTTACACCCTAAGGAAGGTTGAGTTCAAATTTCGTGAAAATCGGCCAAAAATTGACAGACAAAATGGCCGCCGTTCGTTCTCAAATAGCGTAAAAATATGATATATCAAGGTTGTGGACCCTATAGAGGTCACAATTTTTATCCGATTTTGTTGAAACTTATAATGTAAGTTTATAACCCAAAGATCTCAGTTCCTTTTGATATTCGCGCATATCGGACCGTAACTTCCTGAATTATGGCCCCTGATTGTACGGAAAATCGCCTTTTTAGCTTGTGGACCCTATAGAGGTCATAATTTTTATCCGATTTAAAAAATCGTATTATTATATCACCGTTACACCCTAAGGACGACTGAGTTCGAATTTCGTGAAATTCAGCCCAAAACTGACAGACAAAATGGCCGCCCTTCGTTCTCAAATAGCGTAAAAAATATGGTATATCAAGGTTGTGGACCCAATAGAGGTCACAATTTTTATCCGATTTTGTTGAAACTTGAAATGTAAGTTTATAACCTAAAGATCACGGTTCCTGTCGATATTTGCGCATATCGGACCATAACTTTCGGAATTATGGCCCCTGATTGTACGAAAAATCGCGTTTTTAGCTTGTGGACCCTAAAGAGGTCATGATTTTTATCCGATTTTAAAAAAACGTATTATTATATCACCGTTACACCCTAAGGACGACTGAGTTCGAATTTCGTGAAAATCGGCCCAAAATTGGCAGACAAAATGGCCGCCGTTCGTTCTCAAATAGCGTAAGAATATGGTTTATCAAGGTTGTGGACCCTATAGAGGTCACAATTTTTATCCGATTTTGGTGAAACTTGAAATGTAAGTTTATAACCCAAAGATCTCGGATCCTTTCGATATTCACGCATATCGGACCGTAACTTCCTGAATTATGGCCCCTGATTGTATGAAAAATCGAGTTTTTAGCTTGTGGACCCTGTAGAGGTCATAATTTTTATCCGATTTAAAAAAAAACTTATTATTATATCACCGTTACACCCTAAGGACGACTGAGTTCGAATTTCGTGAAAATCGGCCCAAAATTGACAGACAAAATGGCTGCCGTTCGTTCTCAAATAGCGTAAAAATATGGTATATCAAGGTTGTGGACCCTATAGAGGTCACAATTTTTATCCGATTTTGTTGAAACTTGAAATGTAAGTTTATAACCCAAAGATCTCAGTTCCTTTCGATATTTGCGCATATCGAATTGTAATTTCCTGAATTATGGCCCTTGATTGTAGGAAAAATCACTTTCTTGTTAGCTTGTTCTCTATCCATCTCTCGAAAATGTGGGCGTATCATGCCTGGCAGCCGCTGGTTAGGAAATATCTTTAACCCACTAACTGTATTTGTGAATGCAATAATCTATATATGTATCATGCCACAGGCATTTGAAGGGATTAAAATAAAATTTGTAACAACTGTTTGACTTTATATTACAGTATTAATACTGAAATATATAGTCAAACATTTGTAACAAATTTTATTTTAATCCCTTCAAGTGCCTGTGTATCATGCTTATAATCTGAATTAAAAACTGTCTGTAACCAACAGCCTAAGGTATAGCCCCACTAAGGTCTGAATCATCCCACATACCTCGCTAGCCTGGAGTTCGGGTGTTCGATTCCCGCATTGGCCGAGAAAGTTCAATCAGATTTTCCGGTGTGGTTTCCCATCGTCAGTGATGTTGGATGGAGGGCCTGACAAGGACAGCTGTCTAGTCGTTCGGATGGGACGAAAAACCGAGGTCCCGTGTGCACATTGGCGTGCACGTAAAAGATCCCTTGGCAGTTGGAATTCGATATAAGAGTAGGCCGTAGCGCCGCTGCCCGGGCAAAATTTCCCTCATAGCACACTGTATGGCGTATGCCCGTCTTGATTAGTCCAGGTTAGGAACAGAACAGTAGGACGTGAAAGCCCATTTCATTTCATTTTATTTCACCTAACTAAGAAAATAGACATTGCAGGAACATTACATGA